TAGGGAAAGGAAATATAATGAAATACTTTAAAATTATTCACTATTTTAGTTCTTGAACTACAACCACTTGCATTAATACATTTAGAGCACAATGCTGTCCTCTCCTGTATGTTCATTCAGGAAGTCTTTTGTGACAGCTACTCAAATTTACAGAAAGATGAAGAAGCAGTATGTCCTTAGAGTAGCTCCATCCCTATACAGTGGTCAGTAGGAGAAGTCAGTCAGGAGTGAGGTGGTGAGCTCTGCCTCAGCTGCACCTCTTCCCATTCATGTAGCATGCTGGACAGCGGAGCTCTATCTTGGAGAGCCCATTCTGCTTCTGTCATCACCAGAGCAAGGAGTGCACTTCAGACCAAGTTTCTGAGCAACAGCCAGCCTCTTGGACTGCTGCTGAAGCAGCAACATGTTGCCTCAAACATTGCAATTGTGGTGAAATCGCATTTAGCTTTAAATAATAACATCACCATAAACTTGCTGGAAAATGACTTTTACTAAAAGATGCAATAGCTGCCAGATCAAAAATGGAAAAATAAATGTTAATACTTTAATAAAAACTGAGATTAGATAACACTTTTTAAAATTTAATTCATTATTGCTTGTTTCCAATGACAGAATTAAGCTGTGTATCTTAATTAAAAACAATTTTTTTGAAAGTAACATGGTAAAGTTTGAGATGTACATGTTGTTAATTTCCATAGCATTTTAGGGCACACTGTCACCAGAGTTTGCTAGGTACTGGCTCACGTAGTTTTAATTCCCAGTAATAAATACTGGCTAGACAAATGATCATTGAATATAGCCCACATTTGCTTTTCTTGAAAAAATAACTCAAATATTAGGTAAGTATAGATCAGTTCCTCTACAGCACCAAGTATTTACTTTTTCCCAGTGACATACACGAGCCTGCTGGAGAATAGCTAATCATTGGCTGGTAGTGCAAGATTGCACGAATTCTTGACAAAAGGGTGTCTTATTTCACTTGCCGGGCGTTCAGGGGAATTGAAGGAATTTTTGATAACATAGTTTTATATGGGAAATAAAGATAGGAGATAATTATGATGTAATATATCTTAAACTGTGCCAAAGTATGTCAAGGCAATTATTTTAATAAAACTTCCATTTCTGAATTGTTGAAAACAAATTTATTTACGGAAGATAATGCCCATCTGTCTGTTTCTTGGAGAACAACATGAATTTATGTAAAAATAACTGTTCTTTTTGCAGGAATTTACTGTAGATCCAGACAAAATACAGTTGTATTCTTTGTATCACTCACTCCATCATTACAAATATCATATATATCTGACATGTAAAGAGGAGGTAAGTGTTGCTGTCTTTATGAGATATTTTTGCATACATTAAGGGAATTCCCTGAGGGAATTGAGTCCCAATAGAGGGACTATTCTTCTTTTCCTCTTGGCAAATGAGTATGGACTGTGGCCTCCTTGTATTTTAATTAATTTCTCATGGCAAACAAAAAGGTATGCTGAGCACGAATGTGTCCCTAATGGGCACTGCTGCCCAGAGCATTCAGATTTGAGGCCTATAGGGCAACATACCATGAGGAATTGGTGGGTAGGTAAGCATTCTTCACCGTTATCCAAAATAAGCGAAATAAATTGTATCAATTTGTGTAACTACTCAGCTCTAGAATCTACTGTGTCTTAGAATGCCCGTTCCTTTACTTTTTTGCAAAACCCCTGGTTGAAATATTCTAGGTAGCAAAAACATGAGAGTTGAGCTCTGACAAGAGCCACTGTTAAGAAATACAGTCTGTTTGATTTTTGAGCTTAAAGGTTTTCTTCCAAAGAAGGGTGGTATTTAACTGCAGAATATTATGAAAACAAAAATTCTGAAATGCTGGCAGTCTGACATGTATGTGTGTATGCATGTGTGTCTGTCTGTCTCTCTTCTCTTTTTTTAAATAGATTTCTTCTGTTCAGAAAAAGAGTGCAGATCTAGGACAGGAAGAGATTGTGCAGCTGTGCATGAAAAATATAAAATGGGTGGAGGATCTTTTTGAAAAGTTTGGTGAACTTCTGAATCGTGTCCAGCAGAAATGCTCATAACAAATATGTATCCCAGATTTCACATTTTTCTACGGCACTAACCTGAGGGAACAGAAAGCTCAGAGAAAGGCTCTGATTTCTTTCACAATGCCAGACTGCGTTCTTGTTCATAGGCATTTTTATTCCTCTGTATGGAACTTTGTGCCTTGGCTCTTGCTAAGGAAAAGCAATGCTGCCAAGGAAATCAGTCCTTTGGAGATGGAACTAAACATAAACCTTACCACGTTTTTAACCTGAAGAATTATTTTCTATTTTGTAAACTATTGGATAACTTAGTTTTATTTTCAGAAATGTTTTTGACAAATGATAAAGCATGCACTACATATACTTTTTTCTTTATCGCTAAAAAGATAACAACACTTAAAATACTACAGATTTTTTTCCATCTCTGCAACAGGAAAAAGTCAGCATTGGGGTGAACTAATTTTCACATGTGTCTGGCCACCAAATTTAGAGTATTGTACATTTCATGAACAGAGCCGGAGTGACATCAGTTCCTGCATACATATATTGCTATCATAAAAAAAAAAAACAGTAATGTCATTATGCTTTATGGACTCCTTTTACTATTGTCATGTTCAGGAGACTGAACATGGAGTTGGTGCAATCCTATGACTGCTTTTTGTGTCAAATTATATTGTAATGAAAGACAATGACCTTAACTATTTTCCCTGTTTTGAAGAAAAAAAAAATATTTTCCTTTATACTGTGTTTTTTTTCTGTTGGAAAAAAAAATTTCAATTGTACATTTTATCTCACTAATAGTTGTATTTTTCACAGAGAAAATATTGTGGTTAAAATTGTTTCATGTATCTTTGTAATACACTTTCCATTGTTTTCAGTAAATCCTAATCATTTATATGTTGATTTCATATTGTAAGCTATATATCTCGAGGTAACACGTTGTTTATACAGGTTTGCTTCAGTGTTAACCAGAATAATGCATAGTAGACTAGTTTTGCTTTAAGTGTAGTTGTGTTAGACACTGCAATTATTTTCCGATACGTGAAAATAAATTTCTTACTAAACTAGCACTTGATTAACCGAGAGTTTAAATGAGGAGCTACTACACTTTATCTTCGTCAACAAAGATTGTTGATTGGATAGACTATATGCAGTGTTAAACACAGCTTACATAGTTGTTTGTAGAACTGGCAGTTGCAGAGCTGTTCTCTTCTTGGTGCCTTTCAAGTCTTCAAACATCTTTCTGTAGCTTTTTTTTCCTCCAGTTTATTAACAGTTAGTAGTGCCACTAGTCACACTCAGACAATGAATGTAATGGGCTCTAATCCAGAGAACATTTTCTCTAAATTTGCAAACAGAATGCCTTACTGAGTCATTCAGAATGGAGATGTAATCTACTGGGGTCCTAAGGGGAAGAAAAAAAAAAAAAAAGCATGTTCTTTCTTCAGATAATGTAGACAAAAAATCATTCCTTTATCCTTTCACTGCCACTTAGTGCCTTAATTTCAGCCAAGAAAGCAGGGTTCACTATTCATTGGCCAAATGAAATAATCTTCGTTGCCATGTGACCTATTTTCCCGTTTTCTGTTTTGATTGTATTTAGTTGTTAAATATTCATTAGACCGTAGAACTTTGAAACGTTTAATGAATAGATGTGATAATGAAATGATTTGATCTTCAGTAATAAAATAGAGATTTGAAAATTAAAGTATGTACAGAATTTTAGCCAATTAGTTTTAGAACCTTCTAGTATGTTTACCATATTTCCAAAGGTTTTCATCTTTTAAAAGCAATAATTCTTTAAAATTTATACGCAGACTGCAGTGAACAGACTGAGTCAAGAACAGAAATGGGTATGTGCCCCTGCCTTTTTTTTAAAGCCTCTTCATAGTGTTTTTGCTTTAAAAAGAGAATTAACTGTCATATTAATAGATACTTTGTGCTACTGCTACATCTACTATAATCAAGGGGAGTGATATGGGTTTTGATTTAGGAAGAGTGTGCAGAATGTTGTACAAATCATGAAGCTAATTCATTTTAACAGTGAAAAGAAAGGTAGATGTAGGGTGGAAGAGTTGCCATTGTTTCAGTCATTCTCTGTTAAATCTGGTAGGAGCTAAAGTTTGTGTGGTGAACCAAGCGGCAAAGTTACCAGCATCGATAATGATCAGTTAAATTCATTTTAATGTGACTGTGCACACTGGAGGCATAATAGAAATGTGCCTTGTGTACTATTTGATCTCTAGTAGGGGTTCCAAACTTGAGTATATTCTCTAACTGGCTGGGGTGGTTGGCAGCAGTTCCTGGCTGTGTGGATTCATGAGGGGTGTTTAATTGCTCAGGCAGAGTTCAGTTGTCACATTACAGTGGTGTGCACAACACAGTTTGGGAGCTCCTAATCAGTAGTTTTAGAAATGATTAGGATGCAGACTGAGCAAAGTTGGCTCCTTGATTGTACAGTAAAGAACTCACTAGACTTTGTCTCCCCCTTCCTAATATGACTGTGAAGTAACTCATTAAGAGAGGTTTATATGCTTTCAAAATGATTTATATGCCGCTACTTTATGCTTCCTGTAGATTTTTGAATCTAGAAGTAGCTTTAGGAAGCTACGTGTTTTAAACCAAGCCCTTAGATACTGAAAAAGAGATGAGAAGTTTTTGGAGTAGTTGGTTCACATTAAAAAGCCGGTAACTTTAGCAACAACCATCTTAAAAAAAAAAAAAAAATGGCCAGGATGCTCTGCACTGCCTAGAAGGTGACCTGGCTTATTTTTGACTGTTTTATTCCTAAGGCCAGCGAAACAAGCACTGTGCCTATAAAAGACAGGAAAAGCCTATCCTGAATGAAAGTAACCCCAGACTATTACAGATTATTATAATAGAGCTTCCATCTTTGTGTTGGGCTACACATATGGTGGCTGGATTACTATTTTACCAAATTAGGATGAAGTGAAAAATGGAACTCTCAAGTATGTGAAGGATCATAAAGTAAAATAAAGCTTTGTTAGTGGGATTGAAGAAGATTTTTATACTGAAGCAAACTTAGAAAAAAACTCAATGTACAAATTACTTTTCACACAAATATTTTGCTTTATTTTGTTGCATTTTAGATAATTAATTCTGCACCCACACCTCAGTCTTCTTTCTTTTCTGAAGTAACAGTGAGGTCCTCATCCCTTAACATCTGCTGACAGTGGAAATTGAGCACTCATTTGACTGCAAGAGAAGATGCACTAGGAAGGAACAAAACCCTCCTGAGACTATGAATTAGCAAATTAGAAATTAATGAAACTAACAGCATGATGAAATATTTGGTTTTTAATTCCACCATTTTTTCCTTTAATATGGCATCCCTGTTTACATCAGGTTTGTTTTTATTGAAATACAGTATTTCTCTTAAAGGCAGGTTTTCTTTGAGATGCTGTTTCCAAAGTTTTGCTAGAAAAGAATCAGAGACAAAATTGGATTGAAAAACTGTCTCTGAAAATGGCTAAGGAGTTTAGGGTCTCTAAAGTTATATGACGTGTATCTTATTCATATATTGTCTAAATGGAATACTACTTTTTAAAAAAGCAAATCTTACAAGCTGTCTTCCAAGTAAATGCTTTCCATAGGGGAAATATATTTTAAATATTATTTAAATATTTACTACTATTTAAAACAATTTTAAAACAGAAAAGCTAAATCTATGGTCATAAAATGTCAGTGTGTCATCAGTCATTTTCTGTTTTGTTGCCAACACTTGACATTTGGTCTCTCTTACCCTGTTAGACACCTGTGCATTACACAATGCGCATTCTGCCATATCTTATTGTTTAAGCTAATATTAACATGTCATTGTTAACAAATGCATGTTTTCTGCGTATCTCCTCTGCGTATGGCAAAAATGAGGCTAGGGCTAATGAGAGACACTTTATGCATTCTTAGTCCAGATTTTCAGGTGGTCCATTATACAATGTATGGAAATGTGAAAAAGGACACAGTTTTGTACCGTTCATGATGTTATTAACTAAACCCATTAAAGTGAAAACAGTTTTTAAACAAAAACCTTATAATGCTCAGTGATTTATTATTAAAATATTAAGTCTTGAAAAGCTAGATTGTTGGAAAAAAGTGGCTTTTTAGACAACATTTTCTGATCTTTTCAATATGAAGAAATACAATTCTAGTTCTTTTTCATTATATTGTATGAATTCAGGAACATGTCCCATTTATCTGATTTTTTTACATGTATAGTTCTAAATGTTCTTGAACTCATTTTCACTATATATCTGCCAGTTCTGAAATTGATATGACAAATGAGGAGCCAAACAATTGCGATAAATGAGAGGCTGTCTTCTTCTGTGATTCAGATGTTTTTAGATACGCTGTTTTCTTTTGTTCTCTTTGTTCTCTGAGTAGAATATCTCCATGTACCTATGGGAAAAATGGTGCTAAAGGCTGAGATTTTTTTCAATTGCAGTAACTTATTCCAGATATTTTCTTAGAAATTTTGTTCCAACACACACAGGGCTGAAATCCCACATCCTTCATTTCTTTGATTATTTATTATTTCTTTGATCTTAGCCTTAAGATATATGGTGGCCCTTCTCTGAGCCACTTGCTTACAGAAAAAGGTGAATCTGGAGAGCTGGAATATTTTTGTAATGGTCCTGTGTATAAGAGCTGCTTCCCAAACCAAGATGAGTAAAAGACTAGCCATTTGCCCATGGAGTTATTGTGTTGTCTTTCCCAAAGAGCACTTTGGGAAATAGTCAGCACAGAGAATGTCCTTTTGCAATGTGGAAGCTGAACTTTTTTTAATGCTGCATTCTGATTTGCTTTATAATTTAGGAAGGTTCTTTCTTTCTTTAAAAAAAAAGAGAAAAAAAAAAAAAGAAATGCAAGAAGCCGAAAGCATACAGCCTCTTAAAGGAGAGGAACAGCTCCTACAGTGAGTAATCTGTTGGTAAATATCTTAGAGTCAAAGTAACTTATTCTGCATAGGTATTTGCCTCTCTTGTAGAAGCCTAACAAATCTTTGCTTCATTTCCAGAGAATTAAAGAACAGAAAACTTTCTTAAAACTCCTCATAATTTGATCTCTTGTAAAAGCATAATGGTGAATACAGAGAATGAGCTATATGTAAAGAAGCGGAAGTAAAAGGTGAGTCAGGGAAAACAGCAAACAAAAACTTCTACAAGGGCTGCCTTGTATGTCATTTGTCCTGGATATGACTTTGTTTTCTACTCTTAAAAGTTCCGCTGGACTATTTTGTGTGCAAGTGAAATAAATATTGCTTTGACCGGGTTTTCCTTAATCCCCATTACAGCAACTGCTAAAATTCTTTTACCTGCAGGGAAAAAGTAGGCAAAAGGATCCATTTTTACCAGCCAACATACCAAGGGATAGAGGGAAGCAGCAATAGCAGCAGTGCCACACGGATAGGACTGAAGAGCAGTTAAGGCCCTTCATTTGGAGAAAAACAGATCCAGAATGAGGTAGGACTGCTCATACATATGTTAAGGCCAATATAAGAGGAATCTGAGTGAGAAGAGGGGTGGGAAGTTGAATGATGGGAGACATAGCAAAGGAGGATGACTTTGGGAAGCTAGAGGAGCTTTTTTTAGAAGAGTAGGAGGTGGGAGTCCCAGTTAGGAAATAGCTTCATGAGGCATTCTGCAATGTATAGTAAAACTGATTGAAAAGTGATGGCAAATTAGCAGCATGATCTAGTGGCCGGTGGACATTCGTAGTTGAGGGCCCTGCCGGAGGACTGTTTGCATTTTGCCACACATCATGAGCTTTACAACAAGATGAGTTCAGTCTAGTCTTAATTCTGCTTTCTGTTTTGCTATCAAAAACGAGGGCTTTTTTCAGTCTTGAAAAGCATGGATGCCAGTATATCTCTGCATGGAAGCAACGGTTTTTCATTGCCTCCCATTATAAGCTATTTTTGAGTGTGTGTATCACTGGACCCTAATTCCTGCTCAGGTTTTCTTGTGTTGTATAGTCAATATTTCAACTAATTTTGTTGCAAGAAGTGTGAGGTGAGCAAAAACCCTTTCAAGGAATATTTATAATGTAAATCATCTCAGACGGAGATTTTTTTTATTATTTTTGCAAATGCAAACATATTCTCAAAAGGTTAGCACTTGTGTCTTATTTCAGACATCCATGTGAAAGGTTAGGAAAAAAAGTATGTATGGGCTGTGTCATAGCATGAATTGATTCCTCTCTCTATATAGAGTTTGAACTATGATCGTCCCCAATAAACAAAAAAAAAATGCTACAGTCCTGTGCAAACTAAGACTTTGACCTAGTTAAGGGAATTTATTTGGAAATAAGTTGCTAACATGTTAACCAGTGCATTCACGTCTTACGCCTTCATGTAGATGAATGTGTGTATGGTAAGCATACATTGAAATGGCAATTAAAAGTGTAGCATTCAAGTAAATGCACATTTTTTGGGAATAGAAGTAATATGAAAATCTGTGAGTAATGACGATAATGGTAGATTTCAGTTAAACTGTAAAATTTCCAGCCAATATACAGTCAATATATTCACTTTAAAATACTGTAACTGAGGCCAAATAGAACATGTAAAGCAGTTAACTATTAATCATCTAGTTTGTGTAATAGTTTCAAAATCAGAGTATTTGTCTTCTTTTGGATACACCTGTATGCTCACACACAGAGGAGAATTTTAGTTGTGTTTCTCATTCTGTACATGTGATAAAGATTATAGATAGTAGGGGCCACTCTTGGCTTCAGTTACTATGCTTAGGTGTAAAAGTTCAACTTAAAGTGCTGTGGTTATTTTTTCATAGATGTTTCCTGTTCAAGTTATTGTCAAATTAACTCCCCGTTGACTTTTTTATTTTACAAGCATTACTTGAATGTTACTTCAATGTTACTTGTTATATCGTTGGGAGTACATGCATATTAAGACTTCTAGGGCTTGTGATGGCAAGACTTTATAAGTAAAGCATCTTATTTGGCATCGTCCTCTTCTTTCTAGCTGTGGTTGCTTCTAGTGTGATTGGTCTGTGTATTATTCTTGCATGTTTTTGCTGCAGCAACAGAATGCAAATGGCATGGTAATTGAAAAAAAGAGCTAAAAAAACAGTGTTTCATCATGTGGTTAGGTCAAGTTAGTTAGTAACTTGGTCAAAGCTCTGGGAGAATGAGGATATAGATGTGTTTACTAAGTAAAGCAGCTTTGGTGGTTTTTGAAACTTCCAAGGTTTTTGATGTTGGTCAGTACATAGAAATTACTATCCCTACAACTTTGGTAACAGATGAGAGTATGTGAATGATTTTTATTTGTTTCAGTGTAATGTCTTATCAACTTTGTTTAAACAGCTAGAAAGGTAGTTTGATCTAAGTTATCTAAGTTATCTAAGTTGATCTAATGGACTTTGCACTGAAAGAGCTGAAGAGAGAACTTGCATGCTCTGTGAGAATCCAAACGTTGCAATTCTGGAATCTATTGACCTAAAAAAAGCGAAAGAAGAAATGAAGGAAAAGAAAAGAAAATTGCTTGGTTGAGAATTGTTACTTTCAACATGACCTGAACTGTTAGTTCTTTTGAGATTTATGGGGGGTAAAAAACTATGCAGGGCGGTGCTTCAAGCACCATTTTACCAGCCTAAAATGTGGGCCTGTCAAAACGTGTGATTATTGAGTTTGGTGGCCCCAGCACATTGTATGGTAATATAAAAGGTGAATTACAGATTCATGCATGTAGCATACATACACAGTAGGCCTGATCCTGTGCTCTAGAATGCAAGCCTTGCATTCATTTGGTTAGCTTAAATAGTGGTATAACTGATATGTTGCTGTTTTTTAAAGAAGTCAGAACAGATGGTCAAAATCAGGAATTCACTTATATTTGGCAAGTCCACTTAGTTTTCATGTTTTTTCCCCCTTATCTATCAGCTGTTTCCGACCTATTGAGCTTGTGCCACTAGCGGCTGCTTTGGGAGCAGAATCATGAAACTTGTCCCTAGATCAGTGTAAGTTACTGCTTGGCAGTGTATCAGCTAGAAATCACTGCTCCCTCTGCTGGACTGCAGGCCCTCCATAGTTAAAGCTGCTCCCCTAATCCTTTGTAACTTTACTTAAAGCCACTCTCAGCAATAACTTAAGTTAGTGTGTTTGTTTTTATGTTGCAACATACAGGAGTTCACAGTTGGTCAGTTATCACAGCTCACCTGAAAAATGGTAATTCTTAGTTTGGCAGATGGTAACTTCTTAAATTCCAATTACTTGTGTCTGATTGTACCCTGAGAGTGCTCATTCTAACTGAACAGGTTTCTAATGTATAGGTGACAGTGAGTCTTTACTGCTGTATGAGGAGTCTTTATCCAAACAGTGTTGTTAGGACCATGCTATCCTGGGCATGTGTAGGCAAGCTGTAGTCAAACTCTGGTTAAAATATATGCGTATTTTGAATGTCTGAGAAGACTTCAGCAAGAGGAAAAAATAATTTAAGACAAAATTCCTTACTACTTTAGCTTATTAAAATGTACCGATTGAGATGCAGAGGCCAATCTCTGTATTTTGTGTCATGTTGCTAGTAACCTTGGCTCCCTATACACTTCCCTAAAATAAGCCATCTCAAATAATTCCAGGTTTGATTTACTCCCTTTCCAGCCCCTGTGCTTGGATTCTTAATCTGAGAGTGAACCCATGTTCCACCGGAGGTCAGTGTATAGCCAGTGCACACTCAGTTTGTTGCCTGCCTTTTCTTAATTTGCAATTGCCCTGCTTGACTTTGTTGTGCAGTTACATTGGTATTCCAGCTTAGGAATGGAGGGATTTCACTCCTGAACAGTGCATGCTTTGTTGATTCAAACATTCAGTCATCCAGAAGCTTCTGTCTTAAGAACTTGTTTATTGTTCTAGTCTCTTCAAAAATGCAAGGGCAGAATTCTTACAGATTTCATATCATTATAAAATCCCAAAGTCTGCACTTCAGGAGTAAATCTTACTCTAGCTAATGGGGCAGATGTGGCAGGCATTGTGGGCTGAATGTTGCAGAATGGCATCATTGTAGCCCACCTGCTACTACACAAACTCTTTTTATTCCAGGTGCAGATAAGATATTGGGACTGAGCAGTGAATTTGTGAACAGCTTGCTCTGCATCCTAAGGGACAGTGTTAATCCTCTCTAACCCACGGAGTTCAGCCCCAAGCAAACCTCTCATGCTCTTTAGTACAAATAGCAGAACATATATTATAAGACCGATTCACTGTGCAAGTTCTCTCAGCTTCCTTCATATGTCTAGCATATCAAATAGCCTTTGGTCATCCAATATTGTATGAATAGGTATTCGTTTTTTAAAGTTTGAGATTAATAAAAGTGGGAAAGTTTTTCTGACTTTCATAGGACAGTTTCAATATAAAAAAAGCCGCACATACAGGGCTTTATATCTTTAAGCAATTAAACAGTAGGGGTTTAATAATGTTATGGTGTTTGTGGCTTAAAAACAGTAGTTTCTGTAATTGAAGCTGTTGTTTTTTTCCTCAAGTGAGTACCTTTATGTGAGAGTGACCTGTATGTTGAAGTTTAATGTGTTTGATCATTTGTGAATGGAATGGAGCAACATTTTAAGGGTCACTGTTCAAAATGTTCTCTTTTCATCAGCTTCAGCATTGCAATGAATACAGGCATTGTTGATATTTAAGTAAAAAATTCAAAAGAGTTACTGTTCTAAATAACTGGAAATTTTTTTGAATTTTTATGGTAAGTATTATTTGCTATGCTTTTTCAGAAACAAAGCCATAAAGATTGGGTCCAGTATGTCCTTTTGTTTATGGCAATAAAACATATGTATTTAATTAGATGTTTGTCAACAGAGTTTAAATCTTTGAAGTTTATATTGTTGTGGGAAGACATTTGAAATCTAAATAAGTAAATCTGATCTAGAAAAGAGATAGCCTTCTGTAGTCTGATACTTGCTTATGAGATTTAAGATTAGAATTTAAAGTGCATAGTCTGTGTTCATACTTCAGAAAAGTGGAATCTAAATTCTTTTTACTTAAAAGAAATGCAATAGTATTCTGCAAAAATGCCCATTTATATCATGATCTGTCACTGTTACTGGGAAATCAAACTTTTTTCTAATTTTTGGCACCTAAAAATGTGAAAAATATTAGGGAAACTGAACACTTTGCTTTTAGAACATGTTTTTTCCCAAGTTTGGGGTCTTTTATGTTTTTCTAAAAATATTGAAATGTAAAGAAATTGAAAAAAACTTTTTCCTTTGGTTTTGTCAGGAATGCATAACACTTCCCAGTTATTTAACAAAGCAGTGATCTGCCTTAGATAAAAAATAAGCACTTGTATTTTCTATGAATGTGCCTCCATCTTTTTAGACAGTGCTTCCTGCAGTTTTTGTCTTTTCAGTAATGATATTGCAACAGTCAGTCACACAGTCATTTTTTACTCAGTGAAAACTTTTTACTTGCCTTTAATTAGGTCTCCTTCATTTGTGCCCAGAATGCCTGGAAATTACAGGTTCTCTCTCATCCAAATACTGGGTGGCTGCCCAGCTTCCAAGCTTCTTATGGGAAAAGTGAGACAGCACTTAATATAAAGGTATTCATCAGTTATTCACTTTGTGACACAAGTCTAAGTTTTGCCCTCTGCATCCCCCTACTCAGAGAAGACCTGAATATAGGTGACAGCCCATATTATCCTTTATAATCATCTTGATCCTTAAGCAAACGCTTAGTTGACATGAGTAATTTATTCATATCTTGAGCAGAAAGACATGCCTGAAATTGTTGCTGTTGAATTTAAATACTCTACTCTCCCGCTTTATCCTTCTAATTAAACCCTAAGGTTCTTACATAAGTTTCCAAGAATTTCTGAGTCTTTAGTTGGTAAGTTCTTCAAGATGCAAGCCACATTCTTGATCCTGTTGTAGTCGATAGTCGATAGGATTTCTAGATGACCTGGAAATCAAATCAAAGTAGACTTTTATTTTGCTGTTCTTGACTTTAAAACTTCCGCTCTACAAATTAGGACTCAGTTACCCAACTCGTTAAAATCAATTTTAGGCGCTGTAACTAAATCACACTGTTGTTTTTCTGTGCAACTTCACATCGCATTATTAGATCCAGAGCAAACAGTAAAGCTTTACATACAATCAGACTTCCTTTAGTGATCTCCTTTGTCATATTCCATGTACCAGATTTTGATATATTTACTTAACGCAGCATCTGCCTCTGTATGCAGTCCTGTATTTTTCAATGGAACTGCTTTTGGAGCAAGATACTGTTCCATGTGCACAGGAATGCGGCTAAGTTTGTCCTAATGATTTGAAGTATGAGTGATAATTGCATCTTTGTGTCTGTCATTCTCTTGTGTACCCTATGTTCAACTTTATGAAGGTTCATTTGGGGAAAATGCTGTGGAAGGTGCCACGAAATACAGCATGTTGTACTTTCATCTGAGATCTCTCCACTGCAGTCGAAGGAATCACCAGCTAAAAATGATCCCATTGACTGCACAAGATGGCATTCTTTCTGTTAATTGTGTAAAAGTATTTCATGTAATTCAGACTTTATTTACCTGCTTACATCTGTGCTCTAGCAAAGCATTTTATAATAATGTAAAAACTATTAAACGATGTATAGCTTTTTGTAATGTCCTTTGATATGAGATACTGTTTGACAACAGCTGGCTGGTGGGCCAGTGGCTGTTGTCTGCTCATCAATGTCTCTTGCCTCTTAGTAGTGTTGGAGTGGATGGATAAACTGGTGTGTTGTGGTTGTGGTCACTGTGGTGAAACATGGAGGGAAGCAAAGACAGAAATCCAGGGGAGAGTGCTGATCACTCAGTAATAAAATACAAAAATAAAAAATTAATAACCGTCTGGATTTGCAGCTAGCTGTGTGCTAACCCAGGTTCGCTCTGTCCCCTGCAAACAGAATTTTGACAAATGGCCCTCTGCTATAAGGTGTAATATTCTTGTTACTTGGGCGATATACCTCCTTTCTGAAGATGTTTATAGTTCTAAATTATCTCAAGATTACAGTGAACCACTGCAGAATGATTGAATACCTTGCTTCATTGCAACAACTATGCTGAAACAAACTATTTAAAAATCAAAATGAATTCAGACATCTACTGACTTGCAGTTAATTTTGTCTAAATATTTTGGCAATAGCTAGGTGCAACTTCAAGCTCTTAAAAAATAAGGAATAGTAAAATAATATATCATGGAAATCCACATTGATGCATGCGGTACTTTTTTTTTTAATTGTGAATCTAATGGCTTAGGTTCTTAATGGCAATGATCCAAACAGTCAGACACTTATGAGGCAGAACTCTCTTTTGTTTTTACTTTCTCTTCCACTTTTCCTCCAAGAAAGAATTCGCTAGCTTCCCCTTCCAATTGTTGAAAAACAGTATTGAATCTAATTTTCAAAGGCTAGGATTTGGCTACAGTTCAAATAGATTCCCTTTTCTCTGGTCTTAAGACTTCTATATCTGAAAAACTTAACAAGAGGAAGTACCACTCTTAATGATATAGTTCTAAATATTTTATTGCTTTGTCAATGAGGCATGAAGAAATGTTTGTTTTCCATAAAAGCCTATAGTATCTAGTTCCCTGTACTCAAATTTCACAGCCTAAAATGAAGGCCATCGTTTATTCATTTGTAGATGATGTACAAACCTACAGTGCCCTACCTTAAAGTGTGACAAATAATAAAAGAAGCCTAACTTGAGCTTCGCTGGGTAGCTAAAATCTTGCACTCTACATTTGCTTGTGCAGAGCTCATTGCAGAATGGGCTAAATAAAGATTCACAGGGAATTTTGTTTTGCTAAACTACCACATTTTAATAATCTCATATCTCAACATTAATTTTTGCATCATTTCTGTATTATATCTATATTGTCAATATCAATATCCATATTGTTCAGTTTTTTTAATAAGCATTATATTATTTTTAAGTTTGTGCCTATCATGGATATATCAGTTTGACTTCAAGTCTGCTTCTATTTAAATCAATAAGTCAAAAATTCAAAAACTACTCTTGAATTTTACTTTGTTCTCATAGTATTATTGAGTCATCATCATCATCAAAAGTACTCCATATTTACCAGAAAATGGTGTTGGATCTCAGCTATTTCCCGCAGACAGTAGAAAAAACTTCTGTCACGATGAAAGTTGATTTATTCCTTCATTCCAATCAAAGAATGGCTATTGCTATAATTAACGGCTCACGTAAAACATCAGAGGAGAATTTCAACCATACGTGACTGTTCAAGACATACGTCCTGATAACAAACACGAGCGTTGATTCATTTTTTCAAATTGTCGGTCGCGTTCATCCACAGTCAGATTAATTTTAAGAAGGGTAGCTGACCGGTTTGATTTTTTAATCATGCTTACACAATAACTCTGACAAAACGTTCGCACTTTTGTGGTTTAACAGCGTGATGTATCCTTTTGCTAGGAAGGCAGGGTAACGTTTGAATTGCGGCAGGAAGCCTGGGAAGTTTTGCAGCCCTGCAGTGGCGCTTCACAGCAGACGGCGCCTTTAGCCAGGTGAGAACAGTGGTGTCCTTTCAGGCCAGAACCGTAGCGTTAGTAAAAACACCCGTTTTTCGCTGCGCTTTCTGCCCTCTCCCCCGGAATCAGTCGCTAGTGCTGCCGTTCCTGCGAACGACGTTTTATGAA